GCTTTCCTTTTGCCGTCTTGTCCCCCTCTTGGTTGTGGGCGGCGGCGCTTCGACTTTCCTCCTGCGCTCAGGTTGTCACGGCGGTGTTCTGTCAGCAAGACCCTCAGATGATGATGCTGTTGTTGTAGTTGCTGCTGGTGCCGCTGCAGAACCGGTGGGTGGTTTTTCGAGTTTCTGGGCTAAGGTCAGCAATCGAGTCCGCCCAAAATGATCAAGCATCCCTGGTTCAAAACATCTTGGAAGAGAAAGAGGCGGGGTGATACCCGGCAGGCTGCATCGAGCTGAAGCGTTGGGATTGCGTCTCTGTGTCGATGCTGTTATCGAACCTGTGGTTTTGCTGCCAGGAGCATCGTGAGAAGCTCCTGGATCTCTTCGTTAAAGTCGGAGATGAGCAAGACACGATAACCTTCGAAATGTTGCGAGCTTAGCATTAGCCGGTGACATGCAAGAGATTGTTTCTGTGTTCGAACTTACAGCAATCCCAGCCATGCCGAAGAAAACTGAGAGTTCGTGACGCAGAATCGCTGATAACAGATAGCATCGGATGCTACACAAGCTTCACAACCACCCGTTCAAACCACCAAATTCCGTCAGACAGTACCGAAGCGTCAATCTTCCCAATGGTTTGCTATCATTTGAGAGCGGTGCAGATGCTGAGTCTGGGCAAGCCGAATCGGTGCTGATGGTGAGCTGCAGCAAGAAAAATCGTGATTGCACTTTCCAGGATGCGCAGTCCAAGCCGTAACATCTGTCGACGGCAACAATCGTTCCGCTGTTGTGAAGAATGGTGGCATGACCAGCACAAATTTTATTATCACGGGCACAGTAGGTTCAGCGAGTTTGGGACACAATTTATCGTGTCCTTCCTCTGAGTGCTGTGCATGAGTGCTGGTTGACTGAATGAGGTTTCAGGAGAAGATCAATGATCCGGCCGTTCGAAACTATTTTACGTCCATAGGCCTCATGCACATTGAACCACTCGGCAGCGAGGGTTTTAACTTGTTGGCCATCGTCATCTCCATCATCAGCAGGCCTGGATGTATGGGATGCATGGAGCTTTTTCAAGCTCCTTGATTTGGACGAAGGCCCGGGTCAGTTCTGACTGTTCCGGTTTGGAGACGAATCCACGCATCTGCCTTACGGCTGAGTGGAGTTGGGCCTCGTTGCCCTCTGTTTCATCCCTGAGAGCCAGTGATCGTGCAGGTGGTTCTGTCGAAGCAGATGAGTTTCTGATGGGCTGCCTGCGGCTCCGAGGACAAGCACGGGCTGTCGATGCTTCTCGGTTGGCTCTTGTCGGCCACACACCTGGAAAACGGTCCGAGCACCAAGGTGGGCAAAATCATCCATGACCAGACGTGGTTGATTAGATGCTTGGAGTGAAGTGTCTGTCAACGTCTCGCTTGTCGCGATGCCTATGCATGCATCCATCGTTGCGGACAATGCCTAAGCCGGGTTCTTGTTCGTAACAGATTGGACACTTCGGTTTGTGATGGATGTGAGGAAATCAAAGCCACTTTCAGGGATACGTGGAGGTGCAGCTCCGGCAGATGAGACTGAGCTCAACTGGGGTACATTGAGCAGGTCGATTCATGAGGTGCATGCTTTCAGTGTCTTTCGTGATGACACAATTGCCTCATGTTGTTTCATTGAACACCCTGTTCGTTTTGAACTCGGAGCTGAGGAGCCAGTTGCTTAGTCGTCTCACTGGCGTGCGACTGCAATCAGTGCATTTGCTGCAAACGTCGCAACCATGAAACGCGGTGAGCAAGTTCAAGCACTTTTCCGGCCAAGCTGGTTGATTTAAGTTTAGCATGCAGATGTTTGCTGGCGCAGCATGCGAGGTTAACTCTTGACTTAGGACGTAGATGAGATTGAGCCGTTCCTGGCATATCACCCTACGTGCATGCATAGTCATAAATTTCAATATGATCGAGGAATGTCATACTGCCATGTGACGATTTGGCTTGGAAGTGATGGCCTGTTGACGAGAGCGCTTTCGGCCTAGGGAGACTCTCGTTAGTTCTAACAGTTGGGATTGATGTTGATAGGATGTAGGAAGTGAAGGCTTCAATCACTACAACAGCATTCGAAGAGGGCTTGGCATAGAAGCTTATCTGACACGCAAGCCATCATGGGATTGAGGATTCCGAACAGGTCAGCTCCTACAAGATCTGTAGTCTACAAGATCGACATGTGGTGTGAGAGAAATATGTTCTCCTTCGACAGCCGCCAGCAGATACCAGTTGTACCAGTTGCCTAACCACAACGCAAACACTGGAACAAATCCTCACTGACACGAAAGTACACAGTGGGCTCCAATGTTTCGCAGAGTATGTAGTTGCCGTGAGGAAGCACAGTGCCGACGAAGCTGTGCCACTAGAGCTACCTCGTACTCCCCCGCCGCAGTCGTTGAGCACCCCTCCAGATTGCACAAAGTTCTCCTCCAACTGCGGACGAGGGAATTAGATCAAACAGTCAATTCAGGATTTAAGCTGTTGCACAGGGACAGTCTTGAGAGACTGGAAGTAAACCTCTGTTCGTGCTGCTGTTTTCCAACTTCCATGATCGAGGACTTCTTCCGTTCGTTTCGAAATTGTTAGGTCAAGGTCAAGCGGAGAAGGACCCGACACTCCACTGCTGGCACTGTTGTGCCTGTGCTGAGAAGCACAGCTGTCCCCGGCAACGGGGCCGTAGAACGTTAAGAGCAACCGCGGAGTGGCGCGATGTCGGCCTGACGGGGTCGGGCAGACGGACCCACCGGCGAAGGCGAGGACACGAGGAAAAGAAGGTCCAACATCGCCATGCCTGCGATGAGGCAAGCTGAACTGAGCAAATCCAAGTCTGTCACGAGCCGATGAACTAGCAGAGCCGGATCCATGCTGTTTCACGACTTGATTCAGGAAGCGCTGGTCGACATGAAGAAGGTGCTAGCAACTCGATGGCAATATGCCTTGGCGAAAGGTTGCACAGGCCACATGTTGCCATTCGAACATGGATTTGGTTTTGCCCTACATCGCATGCTTTCCTGGTGGGCATGCCCCCACAAGGCTTCTTGCATCTTCCTACAATAGTCTCACGTTGAGAGCCGACAAAGCGACGGTTGGACAACTCGTCTAGTGTTCTTTGGTACTTCCGTGGTTCGGACTTACGACGGCTCGTCAAAAACGGCTGTGTCTGCGTGTGCACACCTGAACTTGGTGAGTGATTGCGTTTTTTCAGCAAGCTGCAGGGGTGGCGTCCGCTTGCGTCTGTCAAGCATCTGCATGGCAAATCATTCATTTTTATGACGCACGGGACCAGGAGGGGTGGGGAGGGGGTCCTGGTCAACGAAGACCCCCCTCCCCAAGCCCGTGAAACGTACCTGCTTGTATCCGCCCTGGGCTCCGGTGCGGGCAGCTGGGGGATACACTCATTTTCATGTTCATCTCCATCTCACTTCGTGCTGTGCCATTCCCGGTGTCTGGCACAGCGAGGGCATGACCCATGCCCTCACGAATCATCTCACCTTGTTGTCGTATGCCATTCCGTCGGTGTGGCATACGTGGCACCAAAAAGCTTCATCTCATCTTTCGTTATCG